TATGCCAGGAGACAAACTAAACGTTACTAGAGGACTCAACACAAGGAATGCGTTCTCACTTATTACAGGCTCAGGCTAAAGCCCACTGAAGCTGGAGAAATTATCCTCTGATTTCAAAGAGCTTTGGATCAACCACTTAGGAAGCTGTGCGCACGTCGGGACGCGCGGCGTTATTTCGGAGTTGGGTTTATCAGCGACGGTTGTCTCAGCAGCATCCTGTGCCTGCTCTAACAGATGTGTTCGTTCCTCTTACTACTTTTTGCATCAACCCAGGCTCTCAGTGCTTGTAATCCATTTGATACTTATTCTGGGGGACTAAAACCGAGTGGCCAGCCTGGAGTTTTAGGAAGGAACGTACTTTCGAGCTTGCTGCAACAAGTCCTCCTTCCGCTGAACCAACATACGCTGCCTTTCATCAGCTGACTTTGAAAAGCGACTTCCCCTGACCTCAAAATCTTCTGCTTCGCTAGGCTCTGCTTCCATTTCGCTGAATTCCACCATTTCTTCCAGTCTTGAGTTGAGTTCAAGTGGCACTCTCTCAGTCTAAGAGAAAAGGAAAAGGAAAAAAAAGTCCTAAGTCTTTGCAAAACTTGCTAACAGGGCTCCTTTGCGTCACACCAACAGCTACAAAGAACTGTCATTTTCTGAGGCACTGGAAGAAAGTAGACTCTCACCTGCCGTACCCAATTCCCTTGGGCTCCTTTGAAAACTCCAGCCAAAATACAGAACAATTTCCGAAACACGTTCAAAGAGCCTGTATTCTACAACGCTTTATCTTTTATGCCGTGTTTGAAAGTGATCCCAAAGACAAACATTAATTACTCATAATTAGTGCTCTATGAAAACGGGGCATTTGAAACAGTCAAGATTCTGCACTGACTTGACAAGCAGTGCAACAGTAAAGAGTTGAAAAAGCAGAAAACCACAGAGTAAGGAAAGAATAGCAAATGTGTTTGCAAAGAGGATGTGTGCCGGAGAAGGGAATTTATGAGGCTTTGGTTCACTGGGTTCTGCAGTACCCAAATTATTGAGTACTCAGGCTGCCGGAGCAAGGCTGGCACCTGTCCCAAGCACGGCGTGTCAATAAAAGAAGGTGGCAGCCCCGCACTTAGTACCTCTTCACCCGTGACAGCTGGCCGACAACGCTAACGTGAAAATTGAGCTGATGAATGATGATGCTGAACTAGCCCAGGTGAACCAGATCCCATCCTGTCATACACCATCAGATCAGCTCTGCGATGGAAAAGCAAGATGTTTCCAAGCGCGGTCACGTCAAGAAACAAATCACCTCAATGGAAGGCTTAAGGCTTTAGCCATCATTTGGTACCCCAGAGGATTACTCAAACAAGTAGGATGCATCACAGAGGCATTAGCCAAGTCAGCTCCTACCACCCAGTGCTGGGGGGGCCCCCCCCCAGCCAGTGACGCGGGCACGGCAGGAGGACACAGCTCACGTCCCAACGGCCTGAACCTGCAGCACGACAGCGTGCAACGCACAGGCTTCAGCAGCTGCTGTGCCAAACATGCTGAGTCATTCCAAAGCCCTGGAGACACACCGGTAACGCTCGACGCGACACCTTCAGAGAGCGAAAACTGAGAGGAATGTCACTTCCCATCAACGAAGTGAACCAAGCAGGAGTGTCAGGGCTCCAGCCGGAGCAGTACCAACACTGCAACCTCAAACACAAGCACATCTTCAGCCTATTTCAGCAAAACCAGTCAATTCCAGTGCGCTGGGGAAGGGCTCCCCGTACCACTCCTGGGGACGCACCAGGCCAACGCGAGGGGTACTGCTGGACCGCCTCAAGGCAACGCCGCATCCATGAGGAGGAAGCAAGAGCTCCACAGAACGATCTCACGGATCCTACCCACGGCCAAGACGACTTCAGCAGACCCAGAGGAACCGGTATGGAGCAACAAAACTGCTGCTGCCCACTACCACACAGGCGGGCACAGAAAAAGGAAGCTCTGCTGGGTAAAGCAGTGAGGAGGGCACTCACCAAGGTTCATGTTGAGGCAAGATCACTTTTTTGTTTTCCGATGGGCCGTTTGTATCAGAAGATGCAAGCTAGTTCACCTAAGCTTTTTTTCGTAACGTTAACAAAGATGCAAAAATCGATACCCAGAGCCTCTTCTTCCATCCGAGCACAAAAGCAGTTACTGAGGAGGTTTCAGAGACAAAAATATCAAAACTAATTGCAGTAAAGGCTATGATAAGCCTCGGTACGAGAGCTGATCTCGGATGCAGAAACCTGTAAGCTACAGAAACCACTCCTCCTTCAGGCTCCAAGAGAAAAAGAGTTAGTTTCATGAAAGCCATGGGATGCCTCAGAAGTGTCTCTAAGCAGAATCACCAAGTACTTAAACGACGACAATAAAGCGTATTCCCAAGGGGAGGGGGGCAAGAGCTGCACCGGGCAACCTTCAGCTTTGTAACAACAGCTTACTACTTAGGTCTGAGCATGCTATTCCCAAGGGGAGGGGGGCAAGAGCTGCACCAGGCAAGCTTCAGCTTTGTAACAACAGCTTACTAGTTAGGTCTGAGCATGCCCCACTCCATCTCCACCCAGGATTACAGAAACAGATAAACAAACACAAAAAAAAATTAAAGGATAATCTTTAAATACATTTTAGCACATGAAAACACAAGCCTGCAGAAAACAGCTATAGCTGCTCTGAGATCTGTTCTTATAGGGAGTAAGAGTAGAGTCAGAAAAAGAGGGGAGGGAGGGTAAATATGACAGGAACGGAGAGCGAGTGTGTAGAGCATTATGCACGCTGCTGGAAGTATCAGCACTTCAGTGCACAACTGGGGAAAAGTATGTGCACAGCATCTCGTTGAGTGTAGCAGCCAGCGCTGCTGGAAGCACCATCTCACAAACCTTTACCACCATTTACACCACTTAGATGCCTCTAAGCTACCCTTATGTTATGTCAACACTGACACCCCAAACTCATAAGCTACATTGGAGGGGGAATAATAAAAAAATTAGTCATTATCTTTATCTTAATTCTATCTAGAATTCAAAGATTTTAAGTCATGATATGATGTACAGCACAGAGGCAAACCTATGCTGCTCATGGAGAAGGGTGTTTATGTTTGAGCATCTTGGCTCCCCTAAGAAACGTTATTTCCAACAAGCAGGACTCCAATAGGTCTGTCACTTGCTGTTGGAGATCTATAAAGATTCCCAGTGAGTGTTGATTTTTTTTTTTAAAAAAAAGAAGGAAAGAGATGGAAAGCTTGTAAAACTTACTCTAAGGCTGCAGCACAAAGCAACTAAGAGCTGCCACAGTTTCTCGCACGGACTGTGCCATGAGGTGTGAAGTTACATCTATCCACTATTTAGAAATTCAAGTCTCACCCAGAGGAGATGATGACGGCTTCTTACATCCCTTCCCACTTGCATTTTTAAAAAGCTTAAAAATCAAGCACAATCTGCTGAAGTGGCTTGTCTGCTGCTAGACCTTTCCACACGGACAAGAGTTTGACTGACTACAGCAACACATTCCTCTGGCAAGAAGAGAACTTCTACAATACGCCAGGCACTCAGTTAAAAATGAAAGCAAAATCAGGGAGATACAAAAGTGACAGGAGTTTCCTAGAGGAAAGACACTGCCAGGCTCCCAAGTGTCCTCTCCACAACAAAAATACTATCAATAGCAAGGAGGAAAGCAAGGCTGACTCCTGGGTAGATCTCTGTGGCTATGTAACACGGGCGATCAGCTTACTTGAAGCCAGCCTAAGTTAAAACTAAATGCACAAAGCATTTACAAGGCAGGAGGAGAACAGCAGCCCCACTCAGCTGCAGGGGATTCACAACTTTTCACGTATCTCCAGGCTATCACTGTGCTATTTTACAAACCAAAAATACATCCTCCGTCCAAACTGCCATTCGCTCCAACTAAAACACATCATTTGAGCAAAGTGCTCAGCTGTAATTCAGAGCAAGAAGGTGTCACTATTAGAGAGCACGTGGTCAAGGACGTGACATGTGAACATCCCTCCCAGGTTTTTCAAGTTCTGCAGAAGGCAGGACAGAGACACAGGCAGCATCAAGCCGGAAGAAAAAGGTGAACAGCAACACAACAATTCCCAGCGAGATTTGAAGCCAGTACCAAGCTAAGGAAAATTAGTTAGATACTATTTGTAGCAAGAGAGGTTCTACTCTCACTGCAGAGGGAAAATGCCACCAAAACCTTTACGTTAACCCAAAAAGTTACTAAAGAGTTGCTAGCTCAAGATTTTCATTCCTGTAGTTCTGCATCTCCTGCCCCAGGCTCTTATCAAACACCTGCACCAATCCCCACCACGTCTTCTTCAGCCTCAACTGCAGTATCAAACCAGATGAAAGTTTTATCTGTCCTGCAACCTGCTAACGAGGGAACTGCTGCAGTTCAATTTCAGGTGAGAGGTTGGCTATTTAGGTTATTAAAGGCTTCAGAGGCACAAAGTCACACACCTCACAAATCCACACTTTCTAAGCCGGCGGAAACTGAGGTTTATAAACCAGAAACCCTTGAGATTTTTCTGCTACAGTCAGGGAAAACAAAGTGGAATAAGACCTTATTCTACTCACAGGCTCATTTTTTTCTTCTTGCCACATTTTAGCTAGCACACGCTGCTTAATAAAGCCCTTGGTGAAGAACAGCGAAACCCATTATTGTGATTTATATTTAAAAGAGCTGTTATTTCTTGGTCGTGTATCCCACTCCATTCATACCAAAGCTCCCTATGCCTCCAAGTGCTTTCTCTAGAACACAAAAGAATTCTTATATGCAGAAGAAAAATACTACCCATTTTAAGGGAAGTGTCTGGAGACATACAGATCAGGAATGGGAAGAAGGGGAAAAGCAAAGCATCCTGCTCTTCGTATTCCACAGATGGGCACGGGCCTGACCAGACGTGAGCAGAGACATGACCTTTTTCTGTTCTTTGTATCATTTGAGAGCACTTTCCTTCAAGGAGGAAAAAGAAAAGCACACAGATAATTCTTTACTTTGAAGTGCTACTTCAGGTGCCTGACAGCGTGAGTTCTGGTGTGAAATGCCAGGAAGGGCTGCCACAGCCTGACCTGGTACGCAACCAACGGCACTGATCTGTCCATGCAGCTTCTAATTGTGCTTTTTGCTCGTTTTTATGCCAAATTACCTGGGTGACAGTTTCAGTATCCTCCTGATCGGTACCGTGCCGTTCCACAGAACTGTTCAACGCAGGTCTAACGCTGTCTGCTCGCTGAAACGCAAACGTCACGGGTTTAACACAGCGCGCGAAACGGCAAAACAAAAACGAGTTCTTTGCACGCATTCCAACTCTGCCCTCTGCAATGTCATGTGTTACGTTCAATTCAGAAACAGATAAGTTAGCAATAAACAGAATGCACTGTGCTGAAAGAGAATTCTCCCTGCTTCCCCACACGCAGGCTCCGGATAACAGCGCTATCTGATGTGCACAGAACCAGAATTCAATATTTTTATTAACGGAAACATTGTCCCCAGACTGCTTTACTGAAATCTGCTATCGCTAATTAAGAACAAGGCATCACTTTGCCGGCTACTTTCTTTGCAGAAAACCTTCCTAAGTGGTACAATTCAATTATCTGTCAGCAGAGAAATCATCTGGAAATGTTCTAAAGGCTCTGCACAAGCGTGATCGAGAAGAGCTGCTTTAACTGAGCAAATATTTGTCTCTAGTCCAGCTAGATCATTTTTCAATATATTTTGATACGTGACTGAATATACTGCACCTACAGAGATTTAAACAAAGCAAAAACAAATCCCGAGGCTTTTTTACTAGAATTTGGCACTACATAAACATGTTTGAGACTGAATAGGCAGGCACTGCATGCATCCTGCAGTCCGGTCGCATCAATCAGGGGCGAGCTAGAGGGCACAGGTGATAGACTGCACGTCCCCTTCATAAAGAAAATACCCGGTATCAGGATGGATAACGCTAAAGCACACCTGAGACCCAGCCTAACACATTAAAAGGCCTTCTTCGAAGGGCCACAGCAAGGAACACCTGCTTACATCTCAATTGCACACCACTGACACATTCCAATTAGTCAGATGTTGCGACATGGAGATAAAACGTGCACTAGACTGCCAAAACCAGTTTGGTGCTTCCGACTGCAACAACTTCCTACAGGTAAAATCTGAAGGATAAGTCTGCATTAAACTAAGCTGGATTCACCAGTGCTTCCACTTACCTCACTCCCCTCACTCATTATTAGCAGGCTCGGTTCTGTGCTAAGAAAGTCATTTGAGGTACACGGTCTTACGACTTACCTGTGTGGGGAAAGGTACCTGGATGCGCCCTTCGAGGATGTTGTCAGTGGTGATCTCGACAGAACGGGTTAGCTGCAGATCCTGTAGAACTAAATGATATGGAACCTGAGGGAACATCTCCTGAATCTGATGGGCCTGGAGAAAACAAACGTTTACACAGTCAGTATCAACAGTGAATAAAAGTCAGCTGGTAAGTATGTCCAAAGATGCTGTTTATGATATGATAACCCTCACGGAGGAAGAAAAACAAGAGAAAGAAAACCCATGTTGGCATGGACTTACAGGGTAGTATTTGACTCCACTGAAGCCAACGGCAAAATTGCTACTCCTATGGAGACACCACACAGTCCTGAAAATTCAGGTTCCTAAACAGGGTTTGTAGATACACAAAGGCTTCAAAAATCTTCCCTATGCTCTTTTTATGATGGCCTTTTTAATAAAGATCTATATGAAATTCACAGGAGTGACTGAATGTTAGATGAACACGTCACTTTTCTTTGTCCCAGACAGATTACAAAATGGAATAGGTTTCAATAACCTACTCTCTCCAGCCACCCTGCCTGCAAACCAGTTTAATAGGGTCTGAAAGCTCAAAAAAAATGAAACTGAGCTGTCAGGGAACTGTTACTATTGAATTTCAAGCTACTTAAATAATATCCAAATTAAATAGATAAGAGAGCAGAGAAATAATATGCTTTTAGAGTCCAACAGTTAGACTTCATTAAATATTAAAATCTGTATTTTAACTAATGCTGAAAGTTACTGAGGGGGTTGGGGAATGAGAACAACAATAAGAAAAGGAGGGTGGAAGGAGTTTTGAGAGCAAAGTAAAAACTATTCATCAGCTGACAGTGAGTTCAAACACAAGCAACGATAGCAAACCTCACTCTCCATTGTACTAACTTGTGGCCAAAGCCAACTGAATCAGCATTTCAGCCTCTGGCCTTTCCCTCAAAACACTTCCCTAGGTTTTTATTCAGTAACACAAAGAAGAATTTCACTTATTTTCTATTAAAAATGTGTAACATGCTAACAGTTTGCTAACCTGGGTCTTTCCATTAAAGTAGGCATTTTAATGTAAGTTGCCACTGTACTTTTAATACTACACAACACTAAGAAATCATTACTCATCCTTAACAAAAGCCTGTTCGTGTCACTGTGTCCAGTAAAAGAAAAACTAAACCAACCTTAGAGGGAGAGTTCCTGCATATTTAACTGGTACATCATCTGCCAACAGCTTACCGCTCCCTGCCTGCCTTGCCTCAAGCCCCCTAAAAATCGTGGCTTTATCCTCTTGAGGCTTAAACCTGGAATATTACATTCAGCTGTGGAGTCCTCAAAACAAGAAGGACACGGAGCTGCTGGAGTGGGTCCAGAGGAGGCCATGAAGATGATCTGAGGGCTGGAGCACCTCTGCTATGGAGACAGGCTGAGTTGGGGCTGTTCAGCCTGGAGAAGAGAAGGCTCCGGGGTGATCTTATTGCAGCCTTCCAGTACCTAAAGGGGGCCTACAGGAAAGCTGGAGAGGGGCTTTGCACAAGGGCATGTGGTGATAGGACAAGGGGCAATGGCTTTAAACTGAAAGACGGGAGATTTCCATGAGATCTAAGGAAGAAATTTTTCACTCAGAGGGTGGTGAGGCACTGGCACAGGTTGCGCGGAGAAGTTGTAGATGTCCCAGCCCTGGAGGTGTTCAAGGCCAGGCTGGATGAGGCTTTGGGCAACCTGGTGTAGTGGAAGGTATCCCTGCTCATGGCAGGGGGGTTGGAACTGGATGATCTTTGAGGTCCCTTCCAACCCTAATCATTAAATGAAACAGTAGTGAAGGTTATGGGAGAGATCTCACATTCAGAAAATTTCACCACTTTCATGAGATACCTCATTTATTTACATTTATTAATATGCTACTGCACACAGTAGCTTTAAGAACTCAGAGGAAACAGCACTTCTTAAATTAAATGAGCTAAGTGTGTTTCAGGAAGCCATATCCTTCTCTTTTGTACTACATTGGAGAGTTCATGTACAATGTCAACAAACTGGGATTTCATCCTCAACACTCCTATCATCATCATGAATCTGCAAGAGTTGACTGTGCTACAGAGAGCCCCATCTTGCACTGGCAAGACACTCAAACAGAAACAGCTTTCTTGGAGCTTAGTGCCATTAAAAACAAATACTAAAAAAAAAAAAATAGAAATCAAAAGCTGTAGAATGGGTTTGATCAGTTACCACTTGACCGATGGCTGAATTCTCTGGTTACAGACTCACATCCTTTGCTACCCCAAGTTGTGAGTGAAGGTAAGTTCTGAAAAAAAGCTAAAGAAGTTGCACTGAGCAAGCTGAGAAAAAGTCTGCCTATCTACGCAGAAAGCACACGTAATTTTTCTCTCTCACTTACCTACCTCCAGACCTGTTCTTTTACGTTCGCGTATTTGAACCACCATACGATCCTAACTTGACTAAAACAAAGCTTCTCTCACTCAAAAAAGGCTTTCATGTAGCATCTAAGCACTGTTTTCCTCCCCGTCCACGTTCTCCACCTACATTACCTCTTTCCCTTTACGACACAAACAGGAAGGCTGAGGTGCACACTACTAAAACAGTCTTACCATGGCATTCAGCTGGGAGTTGCTGGCTTGTGCGATACCCAGGATGTTTGTGGTATGCATCACTTCTACGGAAAAACTAGGCAGCCAGCTGGCAATTCGAGAGCCTAAGAATAAGAGATTACCGAGTCAGTCAAGGAAGAATATGAGGTTCTCAGCAGGCAAAGTACTTCTACATGTATCTAACATAAGTCTTCCTATTTCCACAAGGTACATATGGGGAGTTCTGCAGTGCAATCCATCCCTAAGGTCCCCCAAACATGGAGATCGCTGGAGTAAATCAGTAACTGCTGATACTGTCCTCAAACACGCTCATAGTGGCTTAACAATCTGAGGGCCAGAAGGGGATCAAGAAAAAAAAAAACATCATAGAATCATAGAATGGTTTGGATTGGAAGTGACCTTAAAGATCATCTCATTGCAACCCCCCTGCCATGGGCAGGGACACCTTCCACTACACCAGGTTGCCCAAAGCCCCATCCAACCTGGCCTTGAACACTGCCAGGGATGGGGCAGCCACAACTTCTCCGGGCAACCTGTTGCAGTGCCTCACTACCCTCAGAGTAAAGAATTTCTTCCTTATCTCTAATCGAAATCCCCCCTCTTTCAGTTTAAAGTCATTATGCCTTGTCCTTGTTTTCTTGTTTTAATGTTCCCATTCAAGGGAAAATTAAAATAATCCAGAGCCAAATTCAGTTCTAGAATACAGGAAGAACTCCAGCAATTTTATTAAAAACAGGCCAGCTTCTGAATAGGCTTAATCTGGTCCCAAAATAGGCCAGCTACACGTGGCTGGCATCACTGAGAAAATATTCCTACAAAGGGACAGAGAGTAACCAAACAAAGTGACTGCTGCAATTGTGTGCTCAGGCTCAGAGTAGGGCACATGGCTGGCTCCCTCCTCCTGCACTGCCATGTAAATAAACACAGGGTTTGCTCTACACCACTTCACCTCCTGTCTCCACAGTAATTTTGCAGGTCTCCAAGTCACAGAAGAGCGCTGGGGAGGACAGCTATCAAAAAAACAGAGTGATAATCTAAATATAAATGTCCTTTGGAGACCTAAAGCACCCAAAAAGTGGGAGCCTTGCAAGAAGCTATCAGTCAGTCTCAATGCACCTAGAACCATCTTACCCTTCTCTGCCTATTCTTCTCCTCCCACAATCTCCAAAGACTGCAAAACCAGCACAGGTGAAGAATGGGTCACCATAAGTTTGCGGCATCTCAGCTACACTAAGGGAGCTCCACAAGGACAGAGCCCAAAGCCAAGTGTTTGCACTAGTGAAACCTACTGAGAAACAACAAGATGCCACCAAAAACCTGGGAAATTCGAAGACAAGTATACACCAATACCAAAACTATTAAAAAAAAAAATCTAGAAGATAAGCAAAAGAAATTGCATCTTTCAGAACAAGTTTGTCTGCAAACACAGAACTCGGCATGGTCTGAAATCACGTCTGCTTTGTGAGTACTTGTAACACCACTGAGAAAAAATGAAACAAAACGTTAAGAATGTTCCTGTTACATGTTTCCTTCTAAGAATAAGCTTCTGCAGACCTCTGCGCACAACCAGGCAAGGCAAATGGACTTTTGACAACCTCACCTTAGGTAGGGATAGGGGAAAGATCGACTTTTAGACTGCACCACAGAGGTTTTTTTTCCTCTTTGACTGTCACTGATTAACCAGCCACCTAGCAACAAAGACACATGAATTGCCCATTCTGCTCGTCAGCACAGCACGCAATGAATCAACGCCAGCATTAAAGCTGCTAAGCACAACCAATCAAGGAAAAGGGAGCACTTGTACAAAACATTTCAAGAAATCTCTGTAGCTCTGGACATCAGAGATATGGTTCTTTTACAAGAGCTCAGATACCTAAGAAACATATTTGTGTCTGATAAACATAAGCAGAAGCAAGGTTTAAGTTCCAACTGAAGCATGGACAGAGTTCCCTTCTACAAAAGGCTGCTCCCTTCGTTTATTTGGGCAACAGCATCAGACATCAGATCTGCTTAGCTCACCATCGAAGTGGAAGAAGTGATTGTGCTGGTTCAAGCGTGGTCTGCCTTCTGCTACTGCCACGGGGACCAGGTTCTCCTCCAGATTTTCCCTTTGGTGATCCTCCCTCACATGATGGCTGTCAGTGATATTGAGAGACATTCTGCAGGTGGGGCAAGATGTGTCTTGTTCCAGCCAGGACCGCAGGCATGAGCTGACAGGAAAACAGTAATATCACAGTGAGCTTGCAGCATTTTTCCAAGACATCCGTGTCACATCAAGCAGCTGTAGCATGCTCTGTACGGAACACCGACACACGGACCGCGCGGAGATCCTTTGTGGGGTACGCTTGACGAGCTCCTGATGACTCCAGCAGAGGTTTCTTATTTCTTTCAGCTGAAAATACTCGTGTTCGCTTTTTATAAACAAACATGCAGATTTAACACAAACTTTAAACACTCTCCAAGTTTGTTGTCCCTCTAGCTCAGAACAGGCAATTTTTGCCTGGAAGGGGAAACAAAGCGTTTCTCTTCTGACACCATCTGCAACCGAAAAAGGACAAAACCAACTGGGCAAGTATTTAAAATATAGTGACACAGTTTCGTAGCAGTTCTGCCAGTGTGATGTGGCAATGGCACCTCTGCAGTTTTTCAAATATTGTTTCAAAAATGTCAATACCCAAATCACCACTCAAAGTGAGTACCACTCTGGGAACTCTCTAAACAGAGTTGTTAATACCAAGCAGTGCTGTGTCACTACAATGTTTACTTAATTCTGAACCTTTGCTGTCTTGCAGAAAGTGAGAAGTGTTTGAAATGCACGTTTAAACACTCAGAGCTGGGCCTGCTTTTTGATTCAGACCAGTATGACCCAGTTGCGGTATTTGTTGGCACGATAAACCTAATTTTCCGTATGGAAGAACTGAACTTCACAGACCTGAACGCAATTCAATATTACACATTTGCAGGGTGGGTTTTTTTCCACACTCTCGAAACACTTTAGAAAGGCAGAGACACAGAAAAGGGTTAAATAAGCCCATTTCCCAAACTGTGTATTTGCAAATGGAGTACAGGCACAGATCACAGGTCTGGGCTGACAGGGCAAGGAAAAAGCCCTAATTGCAGGAGCACAGCAAAGTCAAGGACACGAGCACTTGGCACAATTCCTGAAGCTGTGGCATATAGACATATTGCCAAAGTGTTTTCCACCATATTTGAACAGAGGGATACACTGTGCTCAGAAATTACAATGCTGGGTTTCCCAGAAACAACCAAAGCACTACAATAAAAATCTACCATCTGCCACCATCTTGGTCATCAGCCCAGCCAGCACGTTAGCAGTGCTGGTGCTGTCCAACCCGATCTCCACCCTGCACGCAGCAAACTCAAACCTCTGCCACGGTTGTGCTCAGAAGGTCACTTGTGAAACACCCACAGCGACACAAACTGCCACCACGGTGCTGCTCCTCAACGGCTCAACCACTGAGATGCGGGAACGGACACGAACCCCTCTCAGCTTCCATCAGCACCAAGCCCTAAAGGTGTGCAGCCAGCCAGCCCTGGTTGTACCCATTTCATACCGCACAGGCAGAAGGGCTCGGTCACCTACAGCACTTCAGCAGAAGGATGACTAACAACAGGTCAAGGTCGGCAACATTTCAGAGCAACAACTCTTCTGAAGTTGCCTGCTTCCTCCAAGATAAAGGGGAGAGTCTCCACAGAGCCTAAAAAGATCCAGATGCCCACTGCCACTAACCTTCCTTAATATTTAGGCACAGAGTTGACCTCAGCAATGTGAATGTTCCCTGCCGTCTTCTCTTCTACTCCAAATAAACGGCTACAAAAAAAGATCCCATATAACCCAGAATGGACACCATGTTTAACCTGTTGGCAAAATCACCAGGCTTTTATGAGGGGTGAAACCACTCTTCGGTTGTAAATAGGATTGTTAATTACATCTGGCTTTATATGCAAGCTTAAGTCATCCACTCTAACATGTTCCCTCCCTAAATGCACCAAGGAGGGAAGTGTAACTTAGCTTCAGAAAAAAAAACACTAAAGGATCCTTTTAGAAACAGGGAAAACAACTTTCTGAAGAGAAGACCCTGGGCTTCTCGAGTGCTCAGCAGGTGATTAAATATTCATACGATTCAGTTGCACTGGAAGAGGAGTTTCTGCTACAGAGGCACATTATCTCATTAGAGACTCCTTGGAACACAGATAAATATTTATGGCAAGGTTTGTCACAAATGACAACAAATTAGCAGGCAGATTATAACCTCTGGTTCGACAGTTACCAGAAGAGTAAAAAGCTATTTGCAGTAAGTAACTTGCTCCTAGGACACCACAGGGACAACTTAACTGACCACGCATGTTAATCACAAGGCACTTCAGAAACTCCTGGTTCAATCCCCACATCTCCTTTCATTTTGAAGCACAAGCATCAAAACGTAGGCACTGCTACAAAAGATCTAAGAAAAGACTCATCTAGCTGAGCACACTGTCTCCACGAGCATCTGATACTATTTACTACTGAGTGTAAGAAACAGTATATAGAGTGATGCTCTGCTCAGGGCCTCCCAGTTCCAACGACCAGCTGCTTAAGGACCTCTTCAGCTAATTTGGTTAACCTCTTTTATAGCCCCGATGGACTCATCTCCCCATGAAATCATATAATCAGATCTGGCCTCCACAGCTGTCCTGGGGGACTCATCACCATACAAGAATGCACTATATAAAAACATTCCCCGTTCTCTCTTTAAAGTTAACATCTGAAAGGTACTCAAGGATCTAACTCCAATTTGAATTCCTCACCTGAAGATCAACACACCCTCACGGAAGAGGTGATGCATAGGATAAAGTAAGGGTGTGCTTTACCACACAGTTACACAGGAAGGCAGGGTGCAGATTTGCAACTCAGATACCATAACTCAACACCACCTACCCATTAGTTGATAAGATACATACTCTCAGTTTGAGGGGAAAAAAGAATGTGCCAGGTGGAAACAACTGGAACATGTCAAAACAGACCAAAACGGACATGACCTGTACTTCTGTTATTAGAAGCAGACCAAAACAGCCCCGGCAGTAAGCTTTGCTGACAGCTCGTTACTTGTCATCCTGCTGTAACTTTTGGACATGCCCATACATCCCTTCCTCTCCAGCCCCAGAAACGTACTTGTGGAAGAGATGGCCGCAAGGGAGCTTACGCGCGGATTGCATGGAGTCCCAGCAAATGGCACAGTCGTCGTTATTGACTGCCAGCTCCTCTGGTGTTGCAACGGCAAACCTACAAGGAAGATAAAGGAAGAGACAGAAGTAAGGACTACACCTGCTCAGCAGGTCCTCCCTGCCTAGAGAATCCCGCACTGAGAAAACCTTATCCTCCATGTTAACTTTTCCTTGGGAGAGGTGTGCCAGCAGGTTTGCTATTTTTTTTTCCAAACTCAAACTCACAGCACAAAGGCAGACACAGACCCTCATCCCTCCCATACCTTCTCACAGGCACTTTTGCTTTTTTGCACATCTCTGCATCCATCCTAGTTTCAAAAAGCTTTTGACTTAGTGTCTTCCAAGAAGTATGATCATTAAGTTGAGAACCTCAAACTACAACCTGTATGGATTCGGCTTATGTCATTTTTCTAAATGAGTTTTAATAGCTGTACCCATTAAGATGTCCTCTTGGGATCATAAGCATTTATGGTCTGACTAATTTTGGCCTCAGATTTTGCCAACCCCCATTTGTCTTTGATTTTTTTTTTCTTTTTTTAAACTATAGTGCCATGCAAGCAGCTACTACATAGTAGTAAAACACAAACAATATAGACATGAGTGGTGTAACAACATTACACAGTACTGCTGGTGGGAAATATACCTGGAAAACAACTACCCAAGTGCAGGGATCTCGCTGCCGTCGGCAGCTTCAGGAGGAGTCAGGACGTGGTTCTTCCAGAACAATCAGAATGACAAACACACATCAAATCAAACAAGAAGTCCAAGACACTTGCAACTCAAAACTTTGTGAGCAGCTTAAAGGGGTTTAGTGGCTACATCCTACTGAAAAGAAACAATGCATCGTGGATGAACTTTATTATGCAGCTCTTAACCTGGTATGACAGCCATTAAATGACTTTTCCCAAAGTAAAGCTCAGGAATTTCTAGAGAAGTCAGTCTTCTCCATCTGGACTACAGCAGCAGTCATTAGAGCTAGTCAAACTCACTGAAGCCCACAACGAAAATGGTACGACGAGTACAGAAAGAGTAAAACTCCCTGTTGCTCTTGAAATTATTAAGGACATAGCTGAGTTATGAAAACACTGGATCAGAGATGCAGTAGCATCTGCCACAACCCCAGGTTTTTGCAGGCCTCCTGATTTCTCTATATTGTCTCAGTACAGGGCGATGGATTAAAGTAATTCCAAGATGCTCTCAGTTCGTCTGTTTAGAGTTGGCTCCAGGTTTAATAAATACATCCTTAAAGCTGAATAGGTTTTAATTAATATTTTCATTTAATTTCAGGCAGTAACTGAATAGTATGGCCTTGTGAAATTAAGAGCATTTACTTCTATCACAGCCAAAGCCAGTATCTGACAAGTGAAAACAGGCAAAGCTCTGCAGAGCTTATGCCACCCCACCACCTCGAGTAGCGTACAAGAGAATGCAGGAGAAGAAATACTGGACAGAGGAGTTCACTTGTTGCCAGTAACACGTTACCAGTAATACTCCTATTTTAATAAGTCAATCCTACCTATCTGTGAAAACCAGAAAGGGTGTCCTCACTGCCAAATAAAATGGGTAAAAGCATACTGTACAAATGTAAAAAATGTAGAGTTGTATTTGCAAGATTGCATCTCTCCAGCTTACACCATGCCATCGCCTACCAAAGGAACGTAAAAGAATCCCAACTTCTTCATCAGAATCCTCTCTCCAAGATCCACATCAAGATCCCAGAGCAAAGAAGAGGCCCACCTAGCTTCCATGTTTCCGACCACACGCAGGTAGTTCTTGTGCCGCCGAATTCTTCGTTGAACCTCGTGAAACAGGTAGCGCAGCTGCATAAAGATCACCAGGCTCGCCATCGACAACCAGATATTGCCAAACAGCTTTGGAAAAAAAACAGAACAGTCATGAGGAACAAACACCGTGGGAACCAACAGGCAGCCGCAACAGACTACATCAGGTCTTAAGAGAAAAAGTCAAGAAACCAACAGTGAAGAATTTTCCTTCTGTTGAAACCCTTTAGACTAACCACACATGTTCAGATATGTCACTACTCGTTACGTCCTCTCATACAACTTAAGTAGTGCAGCATTTGTAACAAGGATAAACTGTATTCAGCCCTGTTCAGCTTAATGTCGCCTGCTGCCCATGAAAATAATTCAGTCTGATACTACCCAATAACAAAGCTAATTAAACACCTACTAAACAGATAATTACACAGTAGCTAATACTCCATAACAAAGTTATTTGTGAGGACTCCAGTTGCACAGAGGGAAAGTACCAGAACCCCACAAACTACATTTTCCTCTTTATTTCAAGAGCATCTCTGCAATATTTAGTTCATAATACAAGCAAAGAAAAAAAAATATATAAAATACATATACCCAGCACCCTTTATTTTAAGGCCAGTCTGTTTGCTCAACATTATGTCCAGTATTTCGTACCAGCATATGAATATGATGCATCAAGTCCAGTGAAAGCAAGGTCAGCTCCATGACAAAATCCGTGTAGTAGACGTAAGTGCCTTTGCCCTCCCACGTTCCTTCATGGTTGAGATCCCACAGATGAATGACGTATCTGCAAGAGCAGGGAAATTAACATTATTCTATCTTTTTTGTTAAATAGTATCTCTAGCATTCAATCTACTTTAACCTTTTCCCAAACAACTTCTGGGTATGGATTCTTTGCCCTTCCTAAGCCCAGCACCCACACTCTGCTTTCCTGGGGAACTTTTCTTTACTGTTTACTGGTTTCAAACAGCAACGTTTTAAAAAGGCAAAAAGCAACCAATGATCAGCCCACACTGGCATTACAGATACCACCAGCTGACAGAGAAGATGTACCATTGGCTAAAAACTCCTGCATGTAACAAAAGCAAATCTTGGGATTATAGTAACTAGTCCCACATTTTTCAGCACGCAAGGTGTTCCTCTGGCGAGGTGTTACAGCTTGGTGACAGACCCCAAGGTCAACAGCAACCTGGACAAAGAGGTTCTGTGCTACATGTCACATCGTATATGCACACACATGTGCATTACAGATACACATGCATGTTACTTCTTCAAAGTAAAAGTTCTACAGATTAAGACTTTAAAAGAAACCCAGTAGAATGACATTAAGTAGCATATATCAACCCTCATGCAGCAGCACCAATCCATTTCAATCCATGCCTCGAGCTATTAGCCCCCACTAAAGCTACCCGTGCATTGCAGAATTCATGCTTAAAATAGCACAGGCTAAAGGTAACCACCTTTGCCCATCTTCAAACACGCATCTGCAATTCAACAAGGTAACTACAGAGATCTCTGAAATCAAGAAGTGCTATATGCACTACCTTCTGGAACAACCATCCTGCAAAACATAAGCTACTCACCGTAAAATCACATGCGCGGTTCTGACTGTCACAAGCAGAGACTGTGCAAGACAGAAGAGGGGAAGAAAAAAAAAAAAGTGTTAACAACATTCTGGCATGGACAGTGTCCAGAGGCAGGAGCTAAAGAGCTGAAACACAAAATGCATTTATTGCAGCTTAACAAGTTCCTGTGAACCGACAGTCACTATAGGTGACTGTGTGCAGAAAATGCCTGTGACAAACATGAAGCTTATAAATAAATATGGAATAAATTGTTCTCAAACACACAATGCTCATGGACCAGCCACGAGCATCACTGCTGTTAAGCCTTACTTTTTCTCTCATTACATGGGATATATTATTATTTTCAACTCTTATCACTCAGTGAGTGTCGAGACCACAATCCCACCAACTACCTCTCCTCATCCCACTGCTTAAGAAAAATCTGAAGAACCAAATAGTAGCAGGAATTTGAGGAGGAATCACAGAAGCACTTCCAAGTAACTTCTCCTCTTTGCTGAGATGTGAACCCTGCATAAGTAACTGCTCTCTTTAATCATACTTACCTCTCCAGGTTAAGTACAGAGAAAAAACCTGAGTATATCAGAAAGTGTAAGCAGATCAGAAGTGTAAAGATGAGTCACCAGAAAGAACTGTTTCCAGAACACCTAATCACGTTTCCACAGGCTTTTATCATCTAAGAAACGTGGCCCCATCACCCCTCTCTAACCTGTCAGGCCCACAGGATCCCATCCCTTCATCATATCCTCCCAGTGAAAGAAAAGGGGACAGGACGAACCCCCTTTGAGGCTGCCCACACTACCCTCTAGTTAGCAGGGGATTTATAATGAGCAACAGAAACCACTTCTGTACAACTGGTCTGATGGCATGCCTTCGGCACCAGCGTTACAAACAGTACAGAACTCTCAAAACCGCCAACTTCCCAACAGAGCAATAGAACTGTTGGTTTGAGTCATTTTTTCCATCTGTAAAAAGCATTTTTAAAATGCTTCTATGCATACTTAACCCTTAGTAATACCCAACATAGCTGCCACCCATTTACTAGTTGGCATTTCTGTGACTATTTAAACACCAGCACAATCTCTTATCCAAATAAGGGCTTCAGGATGAGATGCACATATCATTCAAATAGCAGTGAAAAAAGTCAAGAAGGTAACAGCAAGTGACCTAGCACGGTGTGCTGCTCTCACCACAAATATCTTCCATGAGAAAGTTAAATTGGCACGCTAGCTGCTCCTGTGAGGCACGTTACGAGACTCTCTTCTGTCTCCTGTCACCCCGCACATGGGTACCAGAAAGAGACACCACCTTGTTCATATGAGATTTTTGGCTACAGAGAAGCTCTGAGCACACCACAAAGTAAATACATCCAAATTCTAGCCAGGCAAGTGGTGACACAGAACGATTACCTGAGCTGCTGGATGGATATGTTACTGAGCACAAATTTGTGTCAGAAACAGCACACGTGGCATAAAGTCTCTGATAAGGAAGACACTTGTCAGGTAGAAATCTGAGGAGTCTAGTCTTTGCAACTTTTAAGAAGTTAAAATATAAGTTGGTACTTGGAACCTGTGGAATTTCAGTGCTTCCTTTCCACGCACCATTTCGTTGCCAAGATATCATTTGTACTGGTTAGCGCTGAGGCAGCAGCAGCATCCCAATTAAAACAACGAGCTCACACAGATTTGGTCAAGGCACTGGTCTCCAGTTCCTCCACTGTTTCCAGAAACGCATTTCAACGTTCTGACACAAGAAACACTTCGCAGAAAGTACAACATTGCATCACAAGTTACACAAGTCCACGATTTGAGGTTCTAAACGTACAGCAGGACCTTCTCAGCGCCCACAGCTCAAGAGCTCCAGCTCTGCTCCACTACACACACACTTATTCCCCAGGGCCTCTGTGATACCAGCAGATACCAGCCCCGGAGATCAGCACACGACTGGAAGGCACTCAAAACCCTACGATAATGGATGTGGTTTGAGAAGCTATATAGGAAAACACACTATTATCTGTAAGGTACAATTCTAAGACTTGAATATCACTATCATTATATGGCCTCAACTGAGATGTGTGAAACAGGACCAGAAGATGGCTGCTATAGGAATGGAGTAATTCTTTCTTACAATAAAAAAGGTGCAGCGACAGACAGACTGGATATTACTTGCTATACTACAGTTCTCAAATACCATCTATTAAGGCAAAAAAGCTTATTGTTTACTCAAAACCACAGACTGCCCTTACTCAGCCTTCTCTGGGCACTTGCACGTTTCCATCCATCCTTTGGAGGCAAGCAAATGCCGACAACACAGAACGAGGGGAAACCTAACGAAAACCTGAGAAAAACATCTATATGGCTCTATTGAAAACCCCAAGGCATCAAGCTAAATCAATGTTTGCAGAGGCAGGAGAGAGATGAACAGTTTAGTGTAACTTAACGTAATTAAATAACTAATGGAATACACTTGGCGGAGTCCCTCTTGAACAGCATCGCACAAGCGACCACCAGGAAAACATTTCAGTCTGCAAGATTTAATGCTTTTTGCTGAGAACTTGAGGACTGCCACAAGGTGTCACTGCCAGTACCTGGACAGAAAGAAACCTAAATGTTTTATTCCACTTACAGGAGTGCTAGGTATTGAGTTAAGGAAACCACTCACGGCCACCCAACCCATACAGACCATGTTTAAAAGATCTACAAAAAGGCAAGATACTAGACAATCTCATGTGAGGAAAGATCAAACAGACTAGAACCCTTCTGCTTGGAAGGAAAGTCAGAAGGGGAACACGAGAAAGGGCTATAAAAATCACAAACAGCGTGAAGAACAGTAAAAGGGGAATGATTCTTCATGTTTTTTCACCATAAATGTACGAGATGATAGCCAGGGACATTAGCAGAAAGATTCAGAACAACTATAAGAGCTCTTTTGTGCACATAAAGCCAAGTTAAATGTGGAATTTGTTGCCTTTGGACATTGCGGAGGCCAAAGTATAAATGAGTTCAATAAACGAACAGACAACTTTCCAGAGTCCATCTGAGGCTATGAAACCCAAGAGGCTTGTGCAACCCTCAGCTCAGGAACGTCCTAAAACACCAGAGGCCACAAGCAAGTGCAAGAGACCCCTTCCTATGCATTGCCCACAAACCTCCGCTCCGCCCACCAGCAGCACGGCAGGCTGCATGGATCCAGGGCTTGGCTGAGGACCATTCACTCACGCTCACGGAGCCCCTCCTTTGTTAATTAAGCAGGCAGAACAGCTCTCACTGAAACCAAGAGCTGGGCCCCATCCTGCAACCCCAAACACATACACCACCACATGGCACAGCGCTAACGAGGCAGTGCTTCAGCACTGTAATGCTCCCTGACAAACCCACCCCATGCTGGTACATCCTTCTGCGAAGCCAAGAGAAGAGACGCAACACCAGTGAGGTCTCACCAACACCCTTCCAGTGTGTAATTACAAATCTGGCCTTGCATACTCTGGTACTTAGGGAAAACTAAACCGACATATTAAGTAACCGAACCATGGTGTGACCAGCATCATATTCTCTTACTATCAGCTGACTGTTTTCTTTCCTCCTTACTAACTCCAAGTATGAATTCAAGACAGGAGAAGAAAAATAAACTGTACATGCTACTTGTTATCTGAACTAAGATGTGCTAACACAACTTACAATTATTCTGGTTACGTCCCCTTTGTTTAAGATTGTCACTTTCTCAGGCAGAGCACAACAACCCATCATAACATCAAAACATACTGATGTCCACTCCACAAACACACTGATGTTTACTCCACACTGCAAAGGGTTCAGAAGTGCACAAACACGAGTTGCTCAGCTCAGCTGAGATGCATCTCTTTGCGAAAACATAAGCAAATCCCATCAGTATGCCTTAAGGAAAGGATGTTAGTCTCGTTTCTTTTTGAGAAGGATGAAATAGAAAATAGAAACTCAAAGAAACAGGTTGAGGTGTACATCACACTTTCATGTACACTCTCTTCCTCTCTTTAGTGACCACTTCAACTAACCCTTCTTGGAATGCTGATGAAGCACAACCATTATTTTTTCATAGGCTGCCATTTGATTTCAGCATCATCTTAAAGATTTATCCTCTCATTCTCTTCTTCAGACAAAGAGGTTCTTGCGGGCTTAAACTCTAAGAGTTTAAGATCTGCACGCAGATCTGGCAGCTACTCTAGAACAGGGGAGGGCTTGTTGGCGTCTTCAGAGTTCCATCTTTGTGGGAAACTAAAAGAAAACCCACCGCCAAGGTACTCCCAAGCAAGGGGTGAAAAGCAAAGCAGAAATCAACCCATGTATCAAGGAAGTCTCACCTCTGCTGCCATGAAAGCCAAGGTGTGCATGCCATGGGTGTAGCCAATAACGCCACAGACGACTGCTAATCCACAGCAGGACAGGAGCATGGCTACGAGCAGCGTCAGGACTCTGATGTGGCTGCTCATGGGTGTTGTAGGGGAAAAGGAAAGCTGCAGAACAAATACACAAACAGATAAATACATAACACGTTTAAAGGAGTACTTCGTCCACTCTGCTTTCCATTGTCACCTCCCCAAACAAGTCCTCACTCCAGAAAATCTTTTGCTTTCTAGAATAAAATTCATTTCATGACCTCAACCACATAGTGTAGTAATAAAAGATGTAGAATAAAGCTAAATCCACACACCATCCCAAAGTCTCGTTCATCTCGCTGTCATTTACATTGACGAGGCTTTTAAAGCCAGAAGGGATCATTAGGATTATTTGATCTGATGTTTACATCACCCGTGCAAGAAAACCTCAGAGGCTTTCTCACACGGTACTTTCTGCACCAAATCCACAGCATCTGCTTAGGATGAACATGCATTTTAGGAAGACACCTAACCTTCATGCACAGTCTTTGAGCAACGAGAATAATTGTTCTGCCAATTTTGAATCTTACAGCTGATCTGAAGTTGTCCACCTTTTATCTTCCAGCCCCTAGTTCTTCCAACGTAACTTTCTTCTGAAGAAAGAGACATCTTCCCCAAAAATTTATTTTGCAGCTAGAGACTGCTGGACAGTCTACTGAAAAGAGCTGTCTCGTTCAATAGCATCTATAGCTTATCAGCTCTCTAACCTGCCTTAACGGGAGGCTACACCCAGGCTGTCTAAATCAAAGATGACTCAAGAGTCAAAGTATTTCGGTGGTACATCCCCTTATTTTCAGGGCAGGAAAAGGAAGAACAGGACAAGGAAAGGAGCTGCCCAAAGCTTTGGTTTGATGTTGGGTGGGTTTTTTTAAATTGGTTCTTTCTTCTTTGTTGATATCTGGTTCAGTCCCACATCCCCTTGAGTTAGCAAGGCCAATCACACAAGTACCGTTTGTCCAAGAAAAGAACTAAGATATAGGCTTTGCATGCAGAAAGAATATAAAAAGGATTTATTCCCATGTGAGCTTTGTTCTTTTACAGCCTTCTGAACAACACTAAAAATGCCAGATGACTGCCTTGCTCACTTCTGTCTCAGTTTTCCTAACTCAAATTGACGTAGTTCCAAGCTCAGTGCTTAGCTACTTGTGAATTAACAGGCCTCACTGTGCAAAGCACAGAGCTACCAAAAGGAAACTCACAAATTCAACTCAGTTCTAACTTTTACTTGGGGCAGAGGAGCTGAAGAAAGTGCATGTCCATTAGAGATGTTTAAAGGGCAAGATTTGCTGTTCAAATTCCAGTTCCTTCTTCCTTGCCTAGCCTTCAATTTCTGCATCTCTGCTGAATTTATTCCTGGTATTAACAGAAACTGGGATATAGCTTGCGGAGAAAGTTGCACTGTGTATCGTAAAGACGTTGACAGTCAACATTGGACAGATGTAAATGAGCTTGAAACCTGAGCACAGAACACGCAGAAACAGGCTTTACAGACTGACACCAAAGGGCACCAATCTAAGGGATGCTCTGTTGTCAAGATTTCTTCACTAAGGAGAGCTACGGAGACATCTCACAGAGTTATGTAACAGTAATTACAGAGCACGTACAAGGAGCAATTTATCTAAGAAAATAAGCATCTTCAGCTCCATTTGTCTGATGGGAAAACTGAAGGAGTGAGATTGACATGGCACTTTAAAGCAAGCATTCGAAGCTACTGGGAGATACACGTGTTCTGCACCACAGGGTGGGGAAAAGGTCTAAATGATCTGTTTGTAACCTACCATGAGCCAGTGCCCGAACCAGAAACAGAATTTTTACGTCCCAAAAGACAGCCCTTAATCAAAACTTACATATTCAAAACGATCCTTGCAGAGCTGAACCATAAGATGAAGAAACACGAGTCCAGAGAACCAGAGGCACCACATCACCACTTCTTCCACTGTCTGAACATTCAGCACACCGAAAATGAAGATGAACTTGTAGAAAATGAAATTCCAGAATTTATCCTTGAGATGCTGTAAAGGAAGACATTTGGTTACTGTAGTGAAAGCACTGACAAGCCACATGCAGCAGAGAAAAGGAGAGAAAAAGAGAAAGGCGAAAGAAAAAGATGGAAGTAGAAATGCAACAATACGCTAGCAAAAGCCTGTTGCATACACATCTTGAATAGAATTTGTTACTCTTACTGAATTAAAAACATATTAGAAATATTAGCAGCCCTTAGCATCTATCTAGTCTTTCGTACCACCACAGCGTAACTGTTTCCTGCTGTACTTCTGAAACAGTGCTTGGCACAACCCAAGTTTGATCTCAGCTTGATTCTCCCCGCCCAAGCAACACAGCTACTGGGCCCCAAACACAAAGTCCTCTTTGCTAGAAGAGCTGCCATGGTTAGTTAGACAAGATGCCCGAACAGCCTAGCACCTTGCTTCCAAAAACCTGTCAAAAAGTACAGATGATTAAGAAGAGATGACAAAGTCTGCTCTCAAAAAGCAGAATGCCTACAGTGAAGAATGAGATGGATGAGCAATGAAAAAAAAAACAAACACTATTCCCACACACATGCAGTATGAAAGAAACAATGTGATGGTCTCAAGCAGCAGATCGCAAGCCAGCTTGTTGGGGATAAACAAAAATATGAAATAAAATGTTTTGTTAAAGAACACGATGAAATCTCCAGGAGTTTAGTGAAGACAGGCCCAGAATTCCTTCATGATGCTGTCGTTTTTGGCTCGCCAATATTAATAACCAGCTTTCCTTTACCTGAGAACCGAAGCATACTCCCACCGTCCCAATGCAAACGGATCCACGTTGCTACCGCTTTTCACTTCAGTTTTTAAGAGGGCAGAGAACATCCTGGAAACTATCACTGCTTAAAATTCCACATCCTTATAGTCAACATGGACTGGAAAGAAAATCTGGCCCAAGGCAGTCTGAGAGTGCCTTGGTTTTAACACACTTCACTCGGAGGCTCTACGGGGTGCGAATCACAAATACAATAGGCTTTGAGAGATCCACGGCTATTAATGAGGCTTTCTGTGCCTCAGTTCTGCATATCAAAAATCTTCATGGCCTGATTTTTCCTAAAGAACTGCATTTACACGCTTTTTTTTTTTTTTAATATATATCAACACACTTCAAACCACTGCTAGTGCATTTACACAGAGCAACTTAGGCATCTGCTTTTCTTTTTTTTTAAAAAAAAGATATACAGATGCTATTCAAACCATTGCTGCTGCTTCTATCTTCTGCGGGATCCTGTTTTTAAAAAGCCTGGGCTTTAACAGTTCTCTTGCTGAACTTTTAAAAACATTCTCACCCAGCCCAAGAGCAGGTCTAAACAGCTTGAGTTTTCAGCCCTGCTCACCTCCCTTCGCTGGGCATACGCCTGCCTTCCCCCTCGTCAGCCTGGGGGCAAATAAACCATTTGCTCCATGTCCCAGCACGGAAAGCACAAAACACAGCACAAGAGGAAACTCAACCTGCCAGTGCTGATAACTAACTACAAAACGCAACGGAGAAATGCTGCCAAGTGCAAACTGAATAGAGAAGAACATTTTATAAGAAGTCTGATAACGTTCATCAAGGAAGTAGGATTTTCAAGTTGACCACGAGCTTCTAAAATAACAACACAGTAACACCAGTGAAAAAGAGAAGTTGCCCTCAGAAATGAACTGGAAGCTTGTGGCTGTGGATACCCTAGCTAACCATGAAGGGTTTCCTGGGCAGATTGTTTTCTGTATGGTTTTACTGGACAACGTTTTCCAAAGCAAGAAGTCCCCATGGTAAGATTTAAGTTGCTCTAAAATTTACTTTTCTTGCGTACCTTCAAGCAATTCCATACAGAAACCCACACCAGCTGTACACCAAGTAATTACGAGACACCTCAGATATCCAAGGGAACAAACGGCTCTTACCTGCCTCTCGCTGACACGAAGAGGACCAAACACCATACACTGGATTAGCTTAGCAACCAACATCAGAAAACAGCAGGCAGTGTTCACCAGCACCTGGAAAGAAAGAAAGCAGTCAGCGATAAATACTTTTGCCCTACTTAGAAGGAGGGAGAGAGAAGGGGAATGAACGAGTCTAACAAAACCCACCATTGTTCACAGGACAGTATTAGTTGCCTTTTTTTTTTTTTTTGATGAAACTTAAGCCCAGCCTCTTCCAAGACATGTGCAGGAGCTGATAAGTCACTTAACTTTTTTCTAGAAATACTAACATGGTCAGTTTGCGACGCCAGTATACGTGACAAACAAATCTGCCTCTTCATGATGTGTTTTTTTATCTAGATTAGCAAACCTCAGCACCAAGGAACACGGGGATGAAACTTACAGATGACCGAAATGTTCATTTTGTTTCATGTACAGCAGATGAGAAAAACCCCGTTTGAATGTGCTGTTACAGGAACAAGATTCAGACATTGTCTGGAAACAGAGTAACACACAGAGTAACACCTCCCCCCTCTTGTAACAACACTGCTTAAATCCTTCTCGGGAAAGCGATTTGAAGCACAGCAGCAAGGAGCAGAATACACGGGCCTGGGAAACTTTCTCACATTTGACAGAGACACTTGTAATTAACTTTTGACCTATGCACAACACTAAAAAGGGGCTGAGGAGGGGGATGATGAAGCAGCCTCACCCTATCATTTCCAAAGGACGTACAATCAGCTCTCCCAGGACTCTTAAATTAAAGTCCTGAGACCAAGTTTCAACAGGCTGAACGTGTTCGGTATGTTCAAAACTCAGCACCTCGGCCAAGCAAACACGTTGTAAAGCACATGTCTAACTAATACGGCCTTCGACTGCCGGACACATGGAAGCACCAACTCAACCAGGTTTCTGATATCCCGTCTTGGAGCCTTTATTTCAACTACAGAAATCAGCGAGCCAAGATTCACACACCATTGCCAGGTCTGGGCTTAAAGAGCTACAGAAGAGGGTTTTTTTTCATTTTCTTAAGCAGTGAGAACGCTTCCTCTTACCTGCACAACTCTAAATAGTTTTTTAAAAAAAAAAAAAAAAACACAAACAAAA